CTGAGGTAATTGAAATGTGTTCCAAAGCTTTGAAGCTCAACTTTGTGGCTTGTGGTTAAATTATGGAACCAACCAGGTAAGTTATTCATGAGCAGGACCAAATAAAATATGGAAAGGCAATGATTTATAAAAAGTGTCCAGTAACCAGGTTTATCCACTTCCTTTTATTATCCTCCCTTAAAATTTCAACACTTTGATATTTGTATTCAAATCAAAACTTGTGTTGTCTGGTCTTTGTCATAAGGTTTTCTTTTTTTGGAAGGTAAACATTCAGCATTTAGTAATGATCTCACCCATTGTTCACTAAACTATAATTGGGGTAAGAAATTGGAGCTTTAGCATCAGGCTTTTATGAGTAAAATACACGTTAGCAATTGGAGTCTTTCTGTGTGCATGAAAAAAAAAAGAATGCTGAAAGGCAGGACTTCAAGTTGACTACACAGCGCAGTGTGATATTTTTTACTCGATGAAGCAGACCACAACCAGTGATGAGGTCACACTTAGATAGCAGTTGACGGCTGCCATGTTTGGAGTCTATTTCCTCAGGTGCGCTATCTGCTGCTGTATAACACTGCTGTGTCTCCTGATTGAGGTACTGCTGATCATAGTGTCTTGAAAGTCTCAAGTCTTTTTATAAGGTTTTAGTTGTCATATCAGCTTGCTGCTGTAAACTAAACATAGTGGTTTGGCCTTAGAATATGTCTCAGTGGCAAATGTGAGGGGTACTTGGCTAATGTAAAATGTTGTTCAAGATATGTGCCAAGGAGTGCTTTAGTTTAAACTTGGCAAACTATATAGAATATAAAATGTTCCTTTAATATCAAAGGTGATTCAGTGTGACATGAGTCAATGAAAGTAAAATATGTACAGTGGTTATTTGCCATTATAAATTTGGGTTTTATTAAGCATGCACAAGCACCCACATCTTTCCCCCTTTCAGTTTCTACAAGGTTTTAGATTTTTGACGTACTGTAAATGGACATGTTACCCAAGGTTATATTTGCTAACAGGAGGATGCCACAAATATATGTCCCCAGATCATGGGATATTTTGTGAATGGTGTCTACCTCTCGATATGACACACATTGATAGTTGTCACCACATGTCCTAACAACAACTTGTACAATTTGTATGCTCCTCAGTTCTGAGTATGTCACATATCATGACATATGTGATGTCACACAATGTCACATGTCAGCTGTCACAGGAACGACATTAACCCCTGAATGTGAAACTGATCCCCATGTTGTGCATATACTAGTACCATATATGTTTAGAAGTAACATCTACTTGTGATGTTTATCACCACATGTCATGTGTTCCCATATTGAGCAGACTGTGTTTCCCAGGATGTGACACTCATACTAGATGTTGTTACCACATGTAATG